AGAAGGGACCCAGGAGAACTTTCCAGTCCTCTTAAAGTTCTTTAATGTCCCATCCCTTCTCCACATTTTATCTTCACTCTTCCTCTCCTAGACCCATTGCCACATTTTTCCATCCACTCCTTTGAGCAAAAGGCTCTAACCCCAGGGGCCAGACTGGCTTAGATGACGGGCACTCATCTAGAGAATCTAGAGATTTTGAAGGCTGCACGAGGCAATTCTACAGGTCCTTCCACCTCCTCCATCTTGTAAGGAAAGTTCCCTCTTATGCGTTTGTTCAACTCCAGATCCTTCTTTCCTTTATCCACCTTTCAGGCCAGACAAACTACAGGGGTCCCTAAAAGCCGTGATCCATGTGACGTCGCTTCCCACTTTGCAGAGGCTGGTGCACAAGTTCTGCCTCCTTGCGCTTGTCCTTCCCACCCTTCCATCTTGAATGTCTGCTCTGTTCCCAAAGCCACCTTTGTCCTTCTCCGTTCCCCCTTTTCCATTTGGACTGGATCTCAACTTTCCCTCCCTTGATCAATTCTCTGTTGGGTTCTTGTGTTTTCCGAGCACGGCTGTTCTCCTGCAGATGTTTTATTGCCAGGCTAGACAACATCATCAGTGGAAGACACAATACCCTGATCTGGTGGTTCTCAACTGCGTGTCTCAATTATCCCTTTTCCCAATCTGGAATAATGTTGTTACCCCCACCAAAAAAACACAGATTGTTGTTCTACGCAAGTGACTCCGCAGTGGCAGTCCCAAACTGGATCCCTGACTCACAAACAAGCAATTGCAAATTGCTCTATTACCCCCAGGATATATCCAAACTACCTGTTGTTTAAGATCCGCTGCCCTAATCAAGGCGCCTTCAAGGAGGAAGCCCCACCCCCACCAAGACTGGCAGGAGAAGCTACTTTATATACCGTAAATAGCCCGCAAACCCAACTCTCCCTCACTTTGGTGATGTTACCTAGCCCGGAAAGAAATGTCTGCGCCAAAACAGCCAAGCTCAGAGAACATCAGACCCCAACAGTTCGATCCTGAGCTACAGACATTTGGGGCTCCTGGAATCTACAATCTTCTCTCTGAGTTCTACCCTCTGTGCCAAATTCACCTGCCCAGCATCTTGCCCTGAGCAACCCAGGAATAATCAAAGGATAGCTCTTCTTCCTTCCCTCTCACATTGCTCTCTTTTTTCTCCATTCCTGTTCACTGGTGAATTTTGCTGGCCGAGACAACCTGCCCAAAGCCTGCGCCTGATTATTTCTCTGGTGCTCAATAAACACCTTCTAAATAACAGTTGAGATTCGGACTCAAAACATGAGTGCTGGCAGAAGAGATCAAGATGGTAGGGGCAGCAATGTGATTGAAGCCCCGCCCCTTTTGTTGTGCATGAGACACGTGCACAAATGGGTGGCGCTTCAACCACCAGGTGGTGTCTGCCATCTTGTAGAATTTGAACTCTTGTAGATGCCCCTGACTCAGAACACTTTGATTCAGGCCCACCACCGCAGAGCAATCCTTTCAGGGTTCCTGGGGGAAAAAAACCAGCCTATGAGTCTTGAGGAAGTGGACAGGGTCTTTATGGCTATAAGCACAGCCAACTGTGAATTGGATCCATGTTCCTCCTGGCTGGTCAGTACCTGCTGGGAGATGATATGTAGATGGATCCAGGCTGTGGTAAATCCAACCGTGAAGGAGGGGTTGGTTCTGCCAGCTGTTAGAGGCAGCCGTCCATCCCTCCTCAAGAAACTCAATGGACCACCGATGCTGCACAATTTTTGTCCTGTCTCTATCCTTCCTTTTTTAAGGAAGGCTGTTGAGAAGGAAGGCAGGTTGCTGTTCCAGAGGGCGCTGGAGGAAATGGATTATCTGGACTTTTTTCAGCTGATTTCAGATATACTACTTACGTGGCATTTATCATGCTTGTCGATGATCTCTGTTGGGGCCCAAAGGGAGGTGGTGCGCCCATCATGGCCCACTTTGCTCTGTCATTATGGTATCCTTCTAGACCAAGTTTGGGGGGTGGGAGTGGGAGGCAAGGTGTTGTGCCTTCCTCTAGGCTAGATTCCAGTCAGTGTTGGTAGGAGGGGAGAGATCTTGCCCTAGACTCTACTTTGGGGGATCCTTCAGGGCTCTACACTATTTCCACTCCTATTTAACATCTACATAAAGCTGCTAAGTGAGGTCATTCATTGGCATGGAGTTAAGTCATCATCGGTATGCTGACATCAATCAGTTATACATCTCTACCCTGGCATGGCTCGGCTGGCCAAATGATGTCATCAAGGTCCTTTCCCAGGGTCTGGAAGCTGTGAGGGTCTGGTTGGGGAAGAATAGGGTTTGGCTTAACCCTAGTAAGATTGAGTGGTCGTGGGTTTTAAGGGGCCCCAGATCTGGGGACTTTCCACCTTTATTTCCAGATGGATTAGAATTCCCAAACAGAACTGGCGTACAGCTTGGACTCTAGGTTCTGCTTACAGAGCAGTGTCAGCCACAGCCTAGAGCAGTGATGGCGAACCTACAGTATGACCCGGGTGCCAAAGGTGACACGCCATGACCTTTTGGGTGACACGCCAGCGTTCACCAACACCTGACAACAACTACTCTCCCTGTCTGAGTTACCAAAGAAACTGAGTTTGTTTTACTAACATTTCATTTTTGTAATTATTTGGCGTTTCTTTATATAATACACAGCACAACACATGATTGGACTGTCTTTTTTTTAAATCAATGAATATGTAAAGAATTGTTTCTCTTTTGTTCGGGGGGGGGTGACACGCCAGTAGAGTCAGGTTCGGCATTTCCCGAATTTTTGACTTGCCAAGCCCAAAAGGTTCGCCATCATTGGCCTAGAGGGTCTTTATACAAATCAATTTAGTACACGAATTGTGCTCATTCCTGGATCAGGAGGCTCTAATCACAGTCATTCACTGCTTGGTCATCTCCCAGCTGGACTACTGCAATGCACTCTCTTTGGGGCTGCCCTCAAGGACCATCAGAAAGCTTCACCTGGTCCGGAATGCAACAGCACAGGTAGCTATATAACATCACAATTTCAAAGCCTCACTGGCTCCCAGTGGGCTCCTGGGTGCAAATCAAGGTGTTGGTTACACCTATAAAGCCTCTTATGGCACAGAACCAGGTTACTGGTGGACCACCTACCTTTCATTGTCTCTACCCATCCCACAATAACTGACAGAGTGGACAAACTCCAAGCTCCTTCTCTAAAACCACATAATCTGGTGGGATCCAGGAGGCGTGGATCCACTTGCAAGTTAGATGGGCATATAAATCAATTCAATAAATAAATACAGTATAAAATAAATAAATAAATAAATACCTGGGTCTGGACCATCTCCACCTTCTCCTCCACCTCCAGCTGATGGAACACGTCTTGTTCGTTCTCCTCATCCACCTTCTCCATTCTCTCCTCGTTGTTATAGTCACTAGCGACACCCACGATTTCGACTGACCAAAAGGAGACAGAGCTGCCCTTTTGGTTGGTGGGTTGCTTGATGATGGAGAAGCGACGGTCTGAGGGCCACTGTGAAATTGACTCGATGGATGGGGTATCCTCAGACCTGTTTCGGAACCTGTTGGGGGAGATTCAGTTACAGGGAAAGGGAAGGGAAGTTGAAGCTGAACAAAAATGCACGTCACAAGATGGGAGCAAAGAGCCAAGGACAAGCTCCTGCTGCCGTAGACCATCAGATGGACTTTGTACAACCCACACAGCTGGAAGGGAACTTGGAGACCACCTAATAATTCCAAACCCTTCCACAAACTAAAGAAGGCTCTGTGTTCTTCCTCATGTCCTGTACCAGAGCACAAAGACGCCCTGCTGTTTTTGAAAGATATGTCTTCATAATGTAAACTCCGTCTCAAGAAGGCCAGTTGCCTTCACCTTCAGCTGTTCTGGTCTAGAAGTAGTGTTTTCCCTCTTCTCCCAACACACGTCCTGCCATATGAATTACATATCTATGCCATTTCACTGATGATGGTGATGATACATGCAAGGGCTGGCATTACTCCCGTTCCTATTGGCCATTCTTGGTTTGTGGCATGCCCCTCTAGTCCTGAGCACTGCCCTCCCTGGCCATTTTAGCTTGGGCTGCAGTAGAGATGGTCACTTGGCTTCCACAGAGGCGACTGCCCATATAGTATCTGACTGGTGCTTTACAAAATACCATTCAATCATTGCACCAGCCCCATATATACACTCCTCTGAAAAACTGGTGTCCAAAAATAGCTTAGGAGGTTGGGGGAGCAGAAAACGGGCCAGGATGAAGCAGGAAGGAGCTTTCTTGATGCACCAGGTGAATGTCCTCCAGCTTCACCCACACTCCTCCTTCACCCCACCGGCCCATCAGACAGACTATTTTGGCCTAGGTTTCGTCAGGTCTTCCAAAAGACTGGTAGAGCCATGTTAGAAAATAGCCCAAGGGACATGTGACCAGAATGGAACACCTCCACCCTGGTTACCTGTCACTCAAGCAATTTGGAAGGTGAAGACGCTGCCCCACATACCTACTCACACTACCTGGAGCCCCACTCACCAGACTTTAAGAAGAAAGGAATTCATGGTGGGTTTCTTCCCACCAGCTGTTGCTGCTAGGAGGGAGGGAAAGCCAAGTCAGGGAAACCCACCAATCACTGCCCTGAAATTATCCCATAGTAAAGGGCAGGTTCACGTGCACGTCTCGTTACAGAGGCTCATTACAGACAGGGCAGCACAAATTACATCAGCCTACTTTTCGGTCATCTCAGGGACTGGAAGAGCGCACGTTAACATGTGTCAGCCCTTTGAAGTTGTCCACACCGGGAAACAGACTCCAGGGGAAGACTAGGACTCTACTTTATTGGGACCGGCTCTGTTAACAGAATCTTGCAGACCTGGCTGCGTTTTTCCTCCCCTCCCTCTTACAGCCCACGGAGTCAGGGAGGGGCTCGCCTGGGCCTCTTCCTAACATTATCTCCTCCCCCAGGACTCAAGGGTGCTTCTGCCCTGGTTTCTGTAAGGTCTTTTGAATCTTCCTTCAAGACAATCTCCGTGGCTCTCTACAATGTGGGTAGGAGGAAGCGACCTTGGTAAATCATTCAGGGTGATAAGGCAGCTTCAACCATGTCCTCCAGTCCAAGATCCTGAAGCACTGCTGCCCGTCACCCAGGTGATGAACAGGACCAGAAGGATCAGAATCACAACACCGGAAGGGTGTTCAGAGGTCATCTAGCCCCTTCCAACATCAAGACTTTTCTCAGACTTCCAACAGGGAAGGGAAAGGTTCAATTCTTCCTTTATATCTGCTTGAACCTCAAGATAATTACCATTACCACCTTTCCATGTAATTTGCTTCTTAAAGGAGCAGTTTAAATGGGAAGAGATGTAGGATATATAGCACTGGGGCTCTGGAATGACACTGGAGTCGGACTCCAGTTTCCATCATCTTGGGACAACACAGCTGATTCCCAAGGAACCCAGAGATGGGTCAGAAATCCATTCCTTCTGGAGAGCACCAGGTTAGAGAAGCCTGATGTAAAGCACGCTGAGCTAGAGGGATCATGCCCAGTCCTTCACCACCCAGAGCATCTCAGGGCAGCCGCAGCAGCACGAAGCATCAAAACTCACTTGTACTTTAAGGCCTCAAGCTTCTCCAGCTGGTGGACCATAACCTTGTTGCTTGCCTGCAAGGTTTGGAACTCCTCTTTCAGATCCACGTATTGAGTGCTCAGAGACGTCAGTTCACCTGCAGAGCACAGGAGCATGGATGAAAGGAAGGGCCTTCCCTCTGAAGGAGAAGACTGGGGTTAGCTAGGCTAAGGAGATCAATCACCGTTCTTGGGCCCTTGGAGGAGCTACAGAAATGCCAAGACGGCCATAAACGCTTGGAAGGCAAAGAAAAGTTGATAACAAGGAGAAGGAATACCAGGAGGCAAGGAAAGCTAAGGACAAGGGAGAGAAGAGGGAGGATTAGAAACATCAGACAGGAACCGTTATTCTAACACACGTCTCCCTGTTCTTAATAAAACCACTGTCTTTGCAGCCCCACCTTCGTTACCACCACTGCCTCACGGATTACACTTGCTCCATGTGGCTGGAGTGCTATTTTGGTTCGCATAAACCCGTTTTGTCTTTTTCTTCTGCTGGGGGGCGCATTTCCACAGGCCAACCGTGGCCTGGTCCCTGGGCTTCTGCTCTGAAGGACTAACCGTGCTCCCTGCGGCTGGAGCCTCTGTGCTTTGCAGGGCAGGAGGCAAAGAGCTCCATTCGGCGCTGGAAGATTCACTGGAACCTCCGAACAGAAAAGCTGGAACGGAGACAACCAGCCACCAAAATGCAGGCTTTTTAAAACGACCCGTCGCCCTAAAAGCCGTACTTCCAGCGACTAATGCCTTCTGAAAACAAACGGACAGGGATTTTAAAAAATGCAGCCTGCGTTGGCTGGATGTGCCCTCATACACTGGGGCTTCCTTCTTAGCTTGCCCGGGGCAGAGGTCAGTGGTGGGGCTTCCGCTTAAACCTTTTAAGACTGCTGAGAAATTAGATGAGCGGTTGCAGTTGCTCACATTCCTTGCGAAGAGGCCAAACTGCAAGAATCCAGCGAAACACATCTGGGGTCAACAATGCAGCGCAGGGGACGTCACGGTATGCAGACACACACACACACACACACCACACACACACACACAAACACACACGCCGGCCGTACAGAGGTCCCCACCAAGCAATGCTTGCAAGGAACAGAATATCACTGCTCACACTGGGAAGACTGACCTTCCCCTGCTAAAATCAGTTGCGGGGCGGATTGTTTAATTCCAACTAAGGACCTTTCAATGTTTTCCGGTTCAGGCTGGGTCTCACTCCCCTGTCCCCAGGTGGTTGTTATCAAGAGATTTCCCCCCAAAATAAAAAGTTTATTTCACTTGTTATTTTTTTCAGTACTTTTCAATGGGGGCGGGGGGTATTTGCCTAGTCCTTGGGCTCCCTCCCTGCTTCTTTTGAGTGTTGGGCCCTTTTTCTTCTCCCCACCAAAGGCTCTTCTACCTCCCTCCCCGGGTGTGTATGACCTGGGCCTCCTTTGGTCCTTCTCGTCCAGTGCCTGGGTTAACCCTAACCTAGATCCAAAGACGAAACCACACTGTTGTATTCCCACAACCTATTAAACCTAATTAAATAGAACTTCCTACAGTTTCAGCAGGATGGCCTGATTCACCACAACATGATAAACTAATGGCTGGGTTTGCACAACCCCCCAGACCAGGCTGGTTAACAATCAAGCAGCTCCAGGTCTACAACACGCTGAACTTGGTTAGGTCTAACCCTGAGTTGTACTTTTGCTGGTTTAGCACGTTAAGCAAGCTTAGGTTACGTGAACCCAGAAGAGCAGGGTAGTTCAGTAGCCCCAGACTATCCAATCCCATTCCCACCTATCCTCCTGCTCTGGTCAGATTCGCATGACACACTTCGCTTAGCTCCTGGTTTAAGCCAAAGAATGGCCAGACCTGCAACATTTGTTAAGGTGCCTTCTGGCTCCTGTAATACTCTCATAGAATCAGAGAGGTAGGAGGCACCTTAGAGGTCATCTAATCCAACCTTCTGCACAGGCTCCACTAGAGCAGTGTTCCTCAACCTTGGCCGCTTGGAGATGTGTGGACTTCAACTCCCAGAATTCCCCAGCCAGCAAGGCTGGCTGGGGAATTCTGGGAGTTGAAGTCCACACATCTCCAAGCGGCCAAGGTTGAGAAGCACTGAACTAGAGCGTCTCTGACAGATGACTGTCCAGAAGGTTTGCAGACCTTGAGCGAAGGAGAATTTCATGAGGCAGCCACTGGCTGAAAACTCACAGAGTCAGGAAATTCCTCCTGATGTTTAGCCTGGACTTCCTTCCTTGTAGCTTCAACCCACTTGTTCAGCTCTTGTCAAAGAGAATAAACCCACTTCCTCTTCTGGGTGAAAACCCTTCAGATATCTGAAGGCTGCAGATATCTCCCCTCGTTCATCTCTCTTGCAGGCCAAATGAACCCAGATTCTAAACACACCCAGATTCACCCAACAGTTCTCTTTAAAATATATAGCAAAAGTTGTCTACAACTTCTTAGAAATAGGGTCAGTTCCAGGTTAAGACATTGATACGTTAGGTCAATTCAATGTCAGCATACTCTTCTAGAAACCTGGACATTTTTATCCCAACCAGCCACCTTGAAGACCAACGGCCCAGTTATGATTACCTGAAAAGCTAAGAAAAGCTTCAACTTGGTAGGATCTGAATGACTAACACTACAACAGCTTTTGTCCTGACAGCTTTGGAAAAGCTTATTTTTAAGGCCCAAATATTTTGCCACCAACTAAGATGACCCTCCTTTGGAAATGATGGAGCAAAAGCTGTTGGTGATAGTTGTTGTGATGAAGATGATGATGGTCGTCATCATCATCACCGTTGTCATTTTGGCCTCCTTTCACCCCTGAAGGAATTTAAGAGAGCCCAGGAGTAGTTACACCGATATAAATGAGGTACCTTGGAGCTTAGTTACTTCCAGGGATGTGTTGGAAAGCTGTTCCTCCTCATCGTGGGCTTCACCCACCACAGTCCTGCCTCCGGTGAACAACTCCTGCTTCATACGGATCTCGGCACGCAGGGCGGTGAGTTCCATGTCGTACTCATCGCGGACTTGTTGCACCCGCTCCAGCTCCACTTTCAGCCGGCAAAGCTCTTCTTGCAGGCCGGCGATCTCGTTCTCGTGCACGGCAGCCGCCTCCTCGGCATCCAGGCGCAGGCTGTGGATTTCCTCGTTGGCTTCCTGCAGCTCCTGTTCCGCACGCTCGAGCTCAACATCCTTTGTTTCTTGTAGCGAGTCAAACTCATCCTTCCGCGAACGCATCTGGGCTGAAGAGGGAGGAAGAGGAAGAGGGATGGGAGGGTGAGAACCCTGGATTTGGGACTGACAAAAAGCTGGAGGTCGCCTCGCATATTAACCGGAATGACAATGTGGAACCTCCAATCCCAGCTCAGTATACTTGGTCCGAGGTGGACACGCGCAAGAGACAGGCATTGCCTTTGGGGTCCACTTCTGAGCTCCCAGCAACATCTGGCAGCTGTTTTTGAAAAATGGACGGTGGATAGGAAAGGTGCATGGTCTAATCCAGTGTTTCTCAAACTTGGCAACTTTAAGACGTGTGGACTTCAACTCCCAGAATTCCCCAGCCAGCAGAAAATATATCTATGTGATCGCCAAGAGTCGACACCAACTTGATGGCACATAATCAATCAAAATAATCAAGTATTGGTTAGGCATACTCTACCTGGAGTAGAAGTGTTAGCGGTATCAAGGACCCAAGGCTTACATTTTGCAGTAACAAGAACAGAAGCAAATGCTAGGATACTACCCCCTTAATCTTTTCCAAACGATTCACAGTAAGAATTAAAAATCCATTCTCTAAAAGAAAAAAAGTTAATTTTACTAGCAGAAAAGCTCAACTCTGTAATGAGAATGGCATGCATAATTCTTTTCCTGGAGGCACTCTGTTTTTTCAAAGAAGAATGGAATAGATGTTTGTTTTTTTAAAAAAGCCTCTAAAATGCAAACTAAGTTGAGTATAAAATATACAAGCAAATCTATGACGTCATTTCCAGTTCAGAAACAAATTCTGGCCACCTCAAGTTTCCCCAGTCACTTTCCACAAGCATTTTGAGGTTCCCAAGAAAGGGAGCCAGGTGTGTTGGGGGGAACACCTCCACCTGTGACTTCTTTCGAAGTTTTTTCAGTGTTACTTGTGACTTGAGACACAAATAACATCATGGGGAGAAAACCTTCTTCTTCTGAGACTTGATTCTCACTTTTGTGCTCATCATTTGAGAAGGTCATACATCAAAGGATGCATGAATATATGGAAATGACAAATACTGTTATTTATCTAAGAGGAAAGCAGTCCTAAAGGTAAGATCCATATTCAAAGTTTAGAATACAGAGGATCTGTATTCTCTGTGAATATACATTATTTTCACATTTTAAAAGCAAACTGTTTGGGGGAAACTAGAACTCCTTTCAGATAAATGCAAAAGACCACCAGAAGACACTTTGGGTGAGTGGGCATCACCCTAGTAGGATAGCTTTCAATGTAATCATTTCACACATTTGACTGTCTTTCACAAAATGTATTTAACATTTAGTGTATTTGCATACAATTGTTTTGTTTTTACCAAGTAACAGAGAGTGATATTTGCAAAGTTGAGACAAAATGCATTTTCTACTCCAGCGAATTCTTGCGTCATGGGGTATGAATTAGCTGCCCCATACCCAAGACATCGTTGTTATTCCTCATTTTAATTCACTTAGAAGTATATAACAAACAACGTAAATTTTTCACTGGCAATCATGCAAGTTAAACTGGCTTAACCACACAACTCTAAATGTTATTTTTAATATGTTCTGAACGTATCTTGGGTTTTGCAGAAACCCAAAGCACCTCAGATGGTTTAGGAGTGTCTTAAACCAACCTAGAATGGAAAAGAATATTTCATTTATTTATTTATTTATTTATATTTCAAATTTGGACACCACCCATCTCACGAGGCAGTGACTCTTCCATCGCGCAATGCATATTCCAAGCGCAATGCATTTCTCTCCAGCAGTTCCTCCATGTCAAAGATGAGACTCATGTCTACTTTGCAATCTTTCCTTGGATGGGGAGACAAACTGAGAAGGGGCCTGCTATTGGAACAGCACTTGGTAGGGGAGGATGAGGCTGGTGTGGCTTCAGTTTGGGATAGATAAATTTGTGGGAGGAGAGAAAATGGGGTGTTGAGAAGGGAAACTCCCAGGTAGAAGGACAATCCTTCAAGTATCACTGGATCATCTTACCTCTCACCTACCCTTGGATGATCTGAAGAACCAGGTTGGGGACAGATCCTCCTGGAGAAAATCTATCTATGTGGTTGCTAAGAGTTGACACCAACTTGATGACACATAATCAATCAATCAATCTCCCATCTTTCCTTCAGAAGCTCAAGGTGGCATACAGAGTGCATCCCTTTCCTATTTTCCCCAACAACAACCCTGAGAGGCAGGTTGGGCTAAGAGACTTTGCTAACTGGCCCAAAGTTACTCAGGAAGCTTCCATGGCAAAGGATGGATCTGAACCCAGGTCTTCCTAGTCCAATACTTTAACCACTGCACACACTGGCTTTCTTCCCTGTGCAAAAAAGTGGGTTGAAAGGGAGGTTATCCAGATGTCTGGGTTCCCAGAATCTGCTAGGCCCCAAAAATCATATTGGGGTTTGCCATGATGGCTGGAGCTAACCTAGTATTTGGTGGGATCAAAACTGGTTGGCAATGTCACCTGTCTTCTCCACCACCGGGTCCATAATCAGACCCAGCACCTCTTTACAACTGGGGTGGCTGGGGGAACATTTGAGATTATCGGGGGGTGGAGGAAAACCCTTTAATCATATGAAATAAATTCCAAAGCAATATTTAAATTTAAAAGAAAAGAGTGTGAGTTGAGCAACCTCGAACAGCTGCTTTTCAAGAGCTCAAGGAGGACTCAGCTCTTCTGTCCTTCAGGGAACAACCCCAAATCCAAAACAGATTTAAACCGAACTGAATGAAACTATCGGTTTAAATAAAACCTTTAAATTAAATGTAAGCCAATTAAGACATTACATTCATTCAGATCCAGGTGGGCTGGAAGGCGAAGGGATCGGGCTGGGGTTCACCCGCCTTGCTAAACCAGGTGGTTTTTGAAATCATGGTTTGAGTAACCCAGAGAGAAATAACGCCCGATCGTGGCTTAGAGACACACAGGCACCCAACTCCAAAGCAGAGGAACAAAGGAGTTTCAACATCAGTTGGCAACAGGAGATGGGCTGACGTCGGAGGCAGAAGGGGCTCCGGCAGAGGGAGCGGGTGGGAAGGCCATGCCGGGTGCCCGGAGGATGATGCCCCTTAGCCTGGCGCTGGGTGCAACCTGGGCATCTGCACCCGGGCAGCCGTGGGCACCCCGGGGACCGGGGCAGGACGGAGCCAGGCGGAGGGCTCCTTGGCAGTTGTGCCATCCTGGAAGAGGTAAAGCGGGCCCCGTTGCTGCGGCAACGTCCACCCCTCTTGGGACGAGAACTCACTGTTCACGGACGAGGAGGGGCTCAGCTCCATGGTGACGGTGGTCCAGGGCTCTGGGTGGACTCCTGGCCCAGCCCCTGCGCTTGGCCCGGGGGCCCCCTTGCCCCTTAAAGCCGCAGCATCTCGGAACCTCCCAGGCCGGGCTGAGGCCTGACGCCGGAGCCCCCTCCCCGAAGGGACCGGCCAGCAGCCTGCCCACGCCTCCTTCCCCAACAGGGCGCTCTCCGGAGGGGCTGGACCGCAACGCCCACCATCCTCAGCCGGCCCGCAGAGGAATAGGGCCCCTCCGGGCAGCAGCTGGCCCCCTGCTTTTGGGGACCAGCCCCTGCAGAAAGCGCCTCGGGCTGGGGTGGGGGAAGCCCCCTGGAAGGATGCAGAAAAGCTCAGAGGGCTGCCATAGGTCGCCTCTGCTTTTAACAGCTCGGTGGTCCCGAAGACAAGCAGCTCTGTGCCTTCGAAGAGCAACCCGCCAGGCAGAAACTCACAGGTGAAGCTTCCTGGGGTGGTGGGGGGAGAAGAAGAAAGCAGTTCAGGGGCTTCTCAAGCCGGTGCCCGGGTGCCTCAGCCGCCCCGGCCGAATCCCGTCTTCTCAGGCACGGGACTCCTGCGGAGCGGCTGGCAAGACGGGAAATTTGATTATTTATGCAGCATTTCTAGCCCCCCATCCCTGGGCAGGGGCAACGCGGTCCCCCCCAGAGAAGCCATTAAAACCGAGGCAAGCCGTCTGCGGCTCCCTAATTTTTAGCATCCTTTTATTCTCTGTTTTACTTCGATTTTTATATTTTTAACGTATTTATTGACTGTTTTTAGCTTTGTTGTATGCCGCCCAGAGTCGCCTGTGGTGAGATGGGCAGCTATATTAATCGGTTTAATAGATAGAATAAAAAAATAAACCCGCAGTTAAATGCAAGCACGGTGGTACATGCTCCGACCCAGCCGGGCAATTTTGAGCATGGAAAAGCCTGCAATTAGGGGCACTTCAGAACTACGAATTTAACCAGAGTGTTCAGCCTGACAAGAAATAAACTGACCTGATTTAGCCCCTGGAGAAGACACACAGACCCTATTTTCGAGACCTGTTTCTGGGGAAAGGCCGCTCAAATTTTCATTTGATTTTCACTCTTCCCAGAATCAATGGAATTTGAGGAATTGTATTGTGATAAAATGATAAAAACATCCACGCCAGTGCAGAAATCATGCTCTCTCAGCCCATCCTACCTCACAGGGATGTTGTTGTGGGAAAAATAGGAAGTAGGAGCATCAGGTACGCCACCTTGAATAGTACAAAATAAAAACAGGATATAAATCTAAATTATAACAGCGATAGTAGTAGTAATAGTAGTAGTAGTAGTAGTAGTAGTAATAATAATAATAATAATAATAATAATAATAATATTTTTAAAAACTGGGAAAAGGAATGAAAACAGCCCCATGGCTACAGTGACCACATGTCCCTTATGATAAAGGACAGCCCTTTATTTCAGAAAGCTGATCTTTAGATGTATTTATTTCCCAAAAATTCACTTTTGCCCTTTATTTTGGTCATTTAACTTTTTACCGTACAAATGGTACCACTTAAGGCACCGTCTTTCACATTCAGGTGAAAAATATGAAAACTGAATTGTCTTTTTAAAATAAATTTACACGTACTGTTTGATTTTAGATATTTTTATTCGAATGTGCATTTTTGTAAAGTTTTTCTTGGTTGGGCTCCTGAATTTTCCTTTGCAAAGCAAAGTTATAAAACATAAACAATTAATTTTTTTTA